CCCCACCCTCCATGCCACGCCCTAGACATTTTAACTCCTTTCTTTGTTATAATTTCAATCTGATATTGAAAATAGTACCTTATTGTTGGATTGTATGGTTAATTTCCATTTTCATATCATACAGTTACCCAGAGTTAATTGTTTAATATAATATTTACTGACTATGCTAAAAATAAACTATTTAACAATGAAATTTAAATAATATTAGGTGGTACAAAATAAAAAAATCTTATTTCAGTAAGTATCACAAACAATATAGAAGTTCCCAACAGCTTGTAATGTCAATCAATAATTTATGGTTTGTATCAATAAAGCATTGCTCGGCAGATCTTAAATTGATGACCTAGATGTCTTTAGTTAAATTGCCTATTCCATACTTCTGTGTCCAATATTTGTTCCGACCAATATTGTTATATTTGGGAACAAAAATTATTTTAGCATAAATCAGAAAAACAAATGGACTCATGTATAGAATATGTGTACATTACTAAAAAAAAATATGACAAAAATACGTTATTAATAGCATCAGGATATATTCCATACATACCAAGGGCTGCTGCATATCCCAGGAATAGAAAGGAAAGCAATAGTAACGTCTTCATTTTGCCGGAAACTGACGCCGGTACAATGTTCTAATCAACACCCGCGCGACAAACTAACACTTTATATTAGATATGAGGGACCAGTATGATATTCTTGGGGTGACATATCAGAACAAAATTCATCACGAACGAACACACCCAGTGGTAACAGCGGAGCGCTTCGGACTGCGCGGCTGCGCCCGTCGCTCGACCGTCCGCTCCCGGTCCAAGCTAGTTTCCCCGCGCATGTGTTTTAATGTCCAAATCTCGATGCATTGATTTATTACATCTACTATTATACAGAATCATATACAATTGGGGCGTCACCCCTTCGGTTTGGCAACGTCTAGACAACGCCTAGCTACCAGCTACCGCGACTAAATCAGAGGTCGATCGGGTTCACTGTAAATTTAGACAAAAAATCACATCATATTGATGTATTTAATAACAAATACTTTGTAAATTATTAAATTAACTAGATTTAGAGAAGCAGTACGGAACGTTACATATAAAGGCACTATCAGTATGTTTTATCTACCGGCACTTTAATTGGAATTGTATTATTGTTATGGGTCCCTATAATGTACGGCCCGATAATGTACGACCCGATATTCCATGTACAAACAAATCCCTTTGCTTGTACACGGATTATTAAAAAATTGATTGACTTGACAGCTGTCAAACTGATGTGTGCTCATCAGTGCTGTGGGATCAATTTGTTATCGATAACCGGAATTTTGTAAACGTATAATTTCTTTTCAAATAAATAAAATTATGGTATTATAATAAATCATTACGAGAAAAAATACTATGAATGAGATCGATGTAATTAATTTAAAAGCTTACAAAATAGGGAATTTTTTTTGAAGCTAAACACATGAATGTTTTAATATATTTAAGTGTTTAGTTTTATTTATACTTTGTGTGTTCTCAAACATTTAAGGCATTTATATTTCATCCAGCTGGTGATAGCGATATCGAAATACATTTTACACGGACAGCACTACTCATTTTTGGTTGGCTTATTAATTTAGCCGGGTAGCTGCTTGGAACTAACAGCTTTTTCTTCTTTCCGAATTAAATGCGGCTGTCTGTTGATGTTTCTATCTCTATTTGTTAGTTCGAGACCTCACCGCTTGTCAATCTATCGTCAACGCCAAAATTTTAAATTTAAACCAAAAGTAGGTATAACTCTAAAGGTCTGTCCCACCATATTTTAAATTGTTTGATAACAATCCAACATATAAAATATGTGATGGAAATATCGGATTTTGTTTCCTTATCTGACAGTGACCTCAATTTTATGTCATCTGAGCCTGTATCAGCCAGTGGTGGAACAGGCCCTTAAAGTTGTAATTGAAAAATAAATTAATGATTCTAGAAATTTTAAATGAAATTTCTAATGATCATGTAATGTGATTTCGCGTATCTTTTTACTAAAAGGCGTTAGAAATATATGGATAGCTCCATCTAGTGCGTTAATGTATAACCTAAAAGTTTTCAAACCAAAGCGACACGGCAATGTTGTCGCGGGTTCGATTTCTGATTTTGGAAAAGTTGAAAATTGTAAGAGTCACAAAATGATATGAAAACAATTAGTATTTTCTAAGAATGAAAAAAACTACGAAAAATTTAAAAGTGGTAATTACTTCATACATTCTCTATCAATGAAAATAAAAAAAAACACAAAATCTGTTTAATAGACAATGTTTCGAAATAGATGATTCAACATAAAATTATAAAAAAAAAATCGCACAGCAATTAAAAAAACAAAAGTTATGTACCTTTATGAAAAAAGTTTCGTTTTTTACAGCCAGGATCTTCTGAATCTTTAGTGCAGTATCCTTCCTCTGATCCGTTTGTAACATTCAGATAAATTAACAATAAAAATAATTTTAAAATTAGTTCAGTTCGTTTACCGGACATCTTTACTATCGGGCATTTGCCGAACGAATGCAAACCGGGCACGATTTACTTTATCAAGTTGCTTACTAAAATGTTCAGGGCTACGTTTTATTTGTCGTTTATGTAAGAAAAACGAGACATCGTTATATTCAGTAAAATGAAAGTGAACCAAATTGAAAACTATCGAATCGTTGATGCGAAACGTCCAGAGAAAGGCTGATAAATTTAACGACAATTGGAAATTAAAAGAAATTTTGTATGTATATGTTTACTTACTAATATTATAAATGCGAAAGTTTAGATGGATGGATGGATGGATGTTTGTTAACGTTTGTAGCCTAAACGGCTGAACGGATCTCCATGTAATTTGGCACAGGTTTAGAGCATAGTCTGGAAGAACACATAGGGTACTTTTTATCCCGGGAATAGTTACAGTTCCTGTGGGATTCATTAATTTAGTTTTTTAATGATTACTCGAACATTCTGCAATGGTTAAATATATTCTTTTGAAATTTGGCACAGATATAAAACAAAGTCTGGAGTACACATGGGATGAGGTTCATCCCCGAGAAATGTCCGATTCCCGAGGGACACGTAGCTTTTTGTTATATATAGTTATGTTTATGTTTTCTAATACCGCGCGGATGAAATCGCGGGCAACAGCTCGTGTAACTATAAATATAACTAGAATATGTAATATTTTACTGAGCGTCTCTTATCGTTTAGTTATGAATAACAATATTTTTTTCTTATCACTTAAACTGACTATAAAAAGCTAAAATTAATACATGCGCCTGGTAATCTGTCAATAAGGATCTTAAACGAATTGTGAAAACCAGATGTAACGTATATTACGAATATAAAATTATATCTTAATCATAAATAAAAAGGGGTTTAGGTTAATTTATTAATATGACAGTAAGACATCGGATGATCTTGGCTAGGTCTAGCTACCATTAATGAGGTCTTGTTCGTAGTAATTACCTAACTTTCAGCTATTCCATTCTCCTATTCATTCTATATCTGAGAACACGATATTTTCATAAACTTTTCTACAGTGTAAACGAACCCTTAATACTTTATTTCACTCAATAGTTATTTTGAAAAAATGTAAAAGTACTTCTTGTAAATAATGACCTTTTACAGCGGTATCTCGTTAGTTGATATCTCGAAAGTTGATTGACCTAAACAATTGACAGTAGTTAAATATTGTAACACTACCGTTACTGCGAGAGAAATCCGTAAAGCTTGAAAATTAACTTGCTAAAAAATAGATCAGAATAACCGTAGCGATGACAAAAAGGTTAGGTGAAAGTATTACTCGATGGTTACGCTTCGCTGAATAATTCTATACAATAATTGTATACCGTTGATGTTGGTCAAAGTGTTTTTTTTCTGATTAGCTTTGAGCTGCTTATGTCAGGAGTCGTATATACTATCTCTCTCCTCTCTAATAATTAACCTCCTTAATACAATTACGTTGCCGGTAATCATATTGTCTCATTCCAATTAGTTAAATTAACAGTGTTAACAATAGTATTTCGTACAGATATAGCACTGGAAACTAACAGCAAACTTGATATTTTAAAAGAAAAAATTGCGCGGATGAATGAAAGTGATACACGGTTAAAATTAATGTTAACAAAGCATAAATCCATTTGTGATAAAAACACTTTATTTGAATTTTGGCCAATGTAGCCAATAGTTTCAATAAATAACAATAAATATTTTCAATAACAAAACATTTAATGATGCATATATGTTGTAAGAGGAGGCACATGTGAAGCTTCAGTAAATTAGAATCCAATTACTGCAATGGGATTAGGGACAGAAACGAACAATTCCACTCCTACTTTAGAAGTAGTCAGTCTTCTAGTAACTACAGTCGCTTACACATCAAACAAAATGCCGAAAGACGATCCAGAGACGACAGCACTGAAGAAGGAACTCACAGATTTGATTGCTCAGGCTAAGGTATTTCGTACTCACATCATGGCTTGTACCTAAGCATATATAATAAATATATGATGATCTACAAGCCGGTGTTCATAGATCAGTTCTATTTGTATCTGCATAAAGATATGATTTGCATGAGTTGTGAGTCACGGAACATTTCGTGGCTTGTCAGCTTCCGTCGTTCAGCTATGAACTGCTAATTTAGTTGTTGCAACTCAATTGTTCAAGACTATGTGACTTTATCGTGAGTGTATATTCCACTTCTCTACGACCTATTTTTATTAGCTAATTATTTCACTTAATCTTTAGAAAATTTTCTGCAGATAAAAAGAACATGAGCTTAGTTGTAAAATTGCTATTATATTTTTTTGGTAGGCAGCGCAAGAAAAGGTTGCAGATGCAAAACTCGCAGAGAAATGTGGTGACATGGGAGACGTGCCTAAGATACGATTCGTCACAAAGAAGACTCTTAAAGGTCACATCAACAAGGTGAATTCGGTACACTACAGTGGGGATTCCAGGTTAGTTGTCTAATCATCTCAATAAGTTTTCCAATTATTTGTTACGTAAAGGGCTCGGTATGCCCATGTCTGTCGTGCAATGAACATTATTCAATGCACCGTCCATTTAAACGACGTCCGTTTGTTTTGATATGTACATTAAATAATTATATTGAATTCGTGTAATTAAAGTTTTTATAACGCGCGGCTCCTGCACGATGTTATGTCCTGGTGCTGTTTGTATTATATACAGTTTTAAATAATTTAACTATATCATGTGTAGTCAATATGTCAATCATTAATTGGATTGTAATGTAACGTATCATATACGAGTATTACGTATTTCAAATATACACTCGTGATGGATTAAAGCTGCTTTAAACAGGATTAGCGAAAGGTGATCATAGTTTCCATGCATAATACCTGCATGTAGTCCACGACATTCATTTATAGATGGGTAGTTAAAAATTGAATTATGTCATTTTAAAAGTAAACAGTAGTTCATTGCTGTATCAACGCAGCTCGAGGTTTGCACAACCCATGTTTATTGGTCATACCCATTACATGTCAGATAAATTGGTCGTTTCGCTATAGCTATAAGATTCATGTTTATAGGCACTGTGTGACCGGGTCACTGGACGGCAAGCTGATTATTTGGGACACGTGGAGCGGCAACAAGGTGCAGGTCATACCTCTGCGCTCCGCTTGGGTGATGAGCGTCGCCTTCGCTCCTTCGGGCAACTTTGTCGGTAAGAATCGTAGATGAGCCTCATCTCATATTCCACCAAATCTAAAATTACGTATTCAGCTTTTTGATTGTATTATGTTAGCGTGCGGCGGCATGGACAATATGTGCACGGTGTACGATGTGAACAACCGCGACGCGACTGGCGCGGCCAAGATGGTGCGCGAGCTGGCCGGCTACGAGGGCTTCCTCAGCTCCTGCCGCTTCCTCGACGACACCCACATCCTCACCGGCTCCGGGGATATGAAGATGTCAGTCTGTTTACGTATTGCTATTTGAATTTTGTCATGTCAAATTTTATAAGGTAAACGCTGGTGTAACTTGAATTTCATTTAATTTGATAAAACTTAAAAGTATCTCAGGCCCTAAGTTCTGTCGTTCCTAAACTATTAATGATAATTGAAGTTAAATATCTTTAGATGCGTTTGGGATTTGGAAGCCGGCAAACGAGAGATGGACTTCAACGCGCACGCCGGTGACGTCGTCACCATCTCCTTAGGACCAGGTAAAAGGAATAGCTCAGAAAGATACTTACGAAGTGCATCAACACTTTATTTTATTTAATGTTTAGATATGAAGACATACATAACGGGTTCCGTCGACCGCACCTGCAAGCTGTGGGACGTTAGGGACGAGAAGGCCAAGCAGACGTTCTTCGGACACGACGCGGACGTGAACAGCGTTTGTGTGAGTATAAAATTCTAGACCGTACTATACATTCGATCAGGAATTATACAATTTATGGAAGTCTTGATGATAGATACTTAAATTCTGTATGGGCAGTTCAGTTTACTTGTATCTCAGACTTTTAACGTATAACTAATGTATAATTGTACACCTGAAGTACCATCCGAGTGGACAAGCCTTCGCGACCGCTTCAGAGGATAAGACAGCGAGACTTTTCGACCTTCGCAGCGACCAGCAGTTGGGTCACTACACTCCGCCGGGGAACAGCGGCTTTACTAGCTGTGGTTAGTACCAATATTTTAAATCGTCAAATGTAGATTAGGCTGGCATTATTGAAGTAAGAGGGGTGCCCTTAGCGTTACTCATAATTATGCATTCGTATTTGGTATTTAGGTATTATTGTCGTAAAAATTTATACTGTCCCCTTTTTTATTTTTTTTATCTTACTTTATTAAGATAAGTTTTACATATATTTAATTCATTCGTTGTTTTTAAATATAAAATACCTAGTACATACAATAAAATACTTATACAAATAAAAATGAAGTACATATTGTTTTAGTATGACATTTACTGTCCCTCTACCCTTGTTACAAAGTGACATTTCCAAAGTTATGTAAAGGTAGTTTGTGACGCAAATCGTTGGCAAACACGTGTCCCTGCTGAGTACACTCTGAGACAGCTGTCCTAAACAATTGTCTTGTTTTCTTCATTGCCAATGAAGCGAACAAAATGTACTATAAATAAAAAAAATATAGATATTTTAACGTCAGATACAGATGTACATAATTTTTTTATATAAATTTAAACAATTTGAGATTTCATTTCAAACATAAGTGTATTTATTACTTTTAATTCCAGCTCTGTCTCTAAGCGGGAGATATCTGTTAGCTGGCTCCGATGACAATGCCGTTCATTCGTGGGACACGTTGAAAGTAGCTCACACAGGTATGTGGTACACAACTATTGTTGTCTATGGTCATCGCCAGATGATTTACGGGGTGGGCAGGTTGATCTGATAATCAAGAGGGAAAAACTGGTTATCAATCGGGGCTAGTAATAAAACTTTTTTTTATTCCAAAGAGAATGCTTAAAACATGTAGACAAGTCGTTTTTAGGTATCTGTATGGGTTAAAGGGATGTTTATCTCTCTAGGGCGTGGGGCAGTCTCGAAAATTCATATCGCCTTGTACATTAAAAAACTTTACAGAATAATAGTAAAAAAACATGCTTGTACATTGAAATTAATTGTAATTAAGAGCATAAGTATTCAGAGTCGAAAACATCCATTTCTCTTGATCAGTTTGAAAAACTAAAAACAGATGTTTTTACTAGTATTAAGTATTTCAGTAATATATCATAATAATTTCCAGGTACCCTCAACGGGCACGAGAATAGGGTAACATCTATCTCTGTTGCCCCCAATGGGATAGCTATGGCGAGCTGCTCCTGGGATCAAAGCGTGCGCGTTTGGGGATAAAAAGTTTAAAAACCTAAAAAATGAAATAAATGACTTACTTTTAAAATAATGAAAACCATTATATCTCATATTCTCTGTCTACATATAAATGTGAGATGATTTATTTTTGTTGTATTAAAATTAATTTTAAAACTCCCTCATGTTCGGAGACGTACGGGTGAATTTTAATTGATATCGCTATAAAAATAAATAAGCCATGTTACATTTAGTTATTGAATTATTAGAATAACAACATAAGTCTATTCCAGAATGTTCCGCTCTAGTATATATTTAGATTTATAATACTATATTTTACAAGTATGAAAGTAAGGCTCTTAGAATGTATGCGTTTGTCACCTACACTAATATAATAAAACGTAAACACATAATTCTTTGTTCCCTAAGATGTCAGCAATTACAGCACATTTTTTAATAATTCTTTTTTTAATAAAAAGCCCAACACTTGCGTAACGCTTTAGGCTATATATTTTAACGCCATTAAACTTAGGGAGTGAATATTTTGGATAAAAACCCTAATGTGGGAAAGAGACCATAAGTTGCTGCCAACATCAAGGACGCAAGGTTGTCATCATTTTGACATTTGTAAACAATAAAATAAAATTTTCATAATTTCATGCGGATGAAGTCGCACGGGAAACAGCTAGTCTTTTAATATATTTATTAACAATTTCATAAGTATTAACAGATATATATCTACAAGTGTTTGTAATTTAAATTATGAAATATCCATAAACATAGCATTCATTTAATCAAGGTTTATAATTAAATACTATAGTATTAAGTTTTAAATTTAGCATCACTGCGTTTATTAAATAAAATAGTATTTTACTTAGTAATAAATTATTTAATTAATAAAGTGTTTCTTATGTTTCATTTGTCTTCCTGCCATTCCCAGTCTAAGGCCCTTGGCTTTTACCAATTAGCAATGTTATAAAATTGTCATTCCTGACGCGCCTTTGTGAAACAAATAGCAATTTTTTTTTAAATCTTTGCTTAATAAGTAAATAAAAAACACTAAACACAGGAAACCACCCCATTATGTAGCATAAAATATAACAATAATCATAGTTTTGTAGCAGGAGTATCTAGGTGCGCGGCAATACACCTGCCGAGGAAAGCACAGCAAACACTCTTTTCTCGAAGCGCTTCAGAGCACATTTGACACCGCTGTAACTTCGGTGTGGATAGAGATAGAAGATTGAAAATTTCTAGCGATTTTCATTAAATCATCTAAATTAAAAACTTAAATTTAAATAAATGATAATCTTACTTCTCACTAATTTTACTAATATTTTAGATGCGTAAGTTAGGATGGATGGATGTTTGTTAGAGTTTGTAGCCTAAACGGCTGAACTAATCTCGATATGGCTTATATGTAGATGATAGTCGGGAAGATTACATAGGTTACTCATTATTGTTTTTTTTAAATCTATGCGGACGAAGTCGCGGTTAATATCTAGTTTATTCATAACGTAATAATTCATTTTAAACGACGATTGAATTAGCAGAGACAGAATCCTCTTTAACCTTACAATATTTTGATAAATATAAGACAGTCGAAACCGTTATGTCCTCATCAAAATTTTACATAAAATACAAATATTATGTCGATCAGAATGCTTGATGAACGATACCAAGAAGCACATCGGACATAGCGCACTGCAGTATCTACATTGTGTTGCAAAACAAATGATTTTCCGAGCAACGGCATTTCGTAAACACATCTCAGTCACCAAGTCCCTACAACTCTTGTCATTATACGAACCACCTCCGAACGACAATGTTCTTTTTCAAAAGACTGTTTATACCAACAAAGCTAACAAAATTATGTTACGCACTAATGATCTCTGTATTAATAGTTGTGATATTCTGTCGTTTACATTTCAAACATAAAACGAAAAAATTGGACGTGAACAGCGAATTATTTCAAGAAGATGAAAACCAACCGACTAATTTTATACCTTACGACGGAAACTTGAGATATATCGTCCGTTGGGTAAATCCTACTAACAAAATGATAGAGTTCGTGGAGGGTTCACGACTGTTTGTAATGAAGAGCTGCGTCTGGTCGAACTGTTACATCACCGACAACAGCAATATCCTGAACTCATTCTCCGGATTTAGCGTCGTCTTATTCGACAGTCCGGACATGAATTATTTTGAAAATTCAAAACATTTACCCAAAGAACGATACCAACACCAAAAATTCGTGTTCGTGAGCGGCGACGCTTCCTCCAGTCTACCTGTCTGCAACGATATGTGGAATAACTATTTCAACTGGACATGGACGTACAAACTAGACTCGGATGTAATCTGGAGATACCTCGTCATCAGAGATGTGAAGGGGAAAATTATCGGACCTCAAAAGGATATGAATTGGATAAAACCTGAAAATATGTTGCCCGTAGATAGTGCCTTTATAATGAAGTTGAGATCAAAAACGAAAATCGCTGCTTGGTTTGCGTCCAATTGCAAAACGGACAGTCAAAGAGAGAACTTCGTTAAGGAGTTGGAAGTTTACTTAGCGGAATATAATTTAGAAGTAGACATTTATGGAGATTGTGGTAAACTAAATTGTCCAAGAATTATAATGGGGAGGTGTCTTGAGATGTTGGAGAAAGATTATTTCTTTTACTTAGCGTTCGAGAGTGCCTTGAGCGAAGACTATGTGACAGACATACTGCTACACGGGCTGAAGCACGACGCTGTACCAGTCGTCTTCGGCGGAGCCAACTACACGAGGTAACATCTAACAAGATACTAACCATAGGTATATCATGTTCTAAGCAGCTTTGTAATTTTGTCTTGGTTTAACTATTTAAAAATAATTCATTTTCTTTCCAAAACGTATTTCGAAATGAAATAATAACGTTGCTTTTTTGTAAAATATATGCAAAATTCCTACAGATTCTTACCAGCCAATGCGTATTTGAATGCGCAAGAGTACGGGCCCGAGGGTCTGGCGCGAAGGATGTTCGAGTTGATGCACAGCCCCTCGCAGTACCAGAAGTTCTTCAGGTGGAGGAACCACTACTCCTATCACGCACACGACGAGTCCCCGGACTCCGACAACTTCTGCAACCTTTGCGCCGCCGCCAACAAATATCGATTTGACAATGACATGCGCAAAACGAACTTCAAAAGTTGGTGGAACGAGAAAGATAAATGTAAATAATTCTCGATTACTTACTAACTACATATCTATACTTAATTAAATAAAGCGTTAAAACGCACGTTTTTGTTTATAAACATTTTTTGAGTAATTCCCATTTTTTAAAATCCCTACAGTTACGTAATATATATTTTAACACTGTTAAACTTAGAGGGTAAACTTTGTCATTTTCATTTTTTTCAATAGAAGCAAAGAAGTAAGTTTGCCATGGTCACTCAAACAATTCTCAGCCAATGTAAAGGGTCTTCGTTGTCATTTGTGCATTTGAATTTTGTCACTTATAATTGAAAGTTTAACGGAATGTAAACAATAATAATGTGATGTGGATGAAGCCAATCCTGATCAGCTGGTTGTATATATAGAACTGATTGACTTGAGCTAATTTAACATTGTGGTAAACTAGTGGTGCAAAGACAGTGCGTATTTATTCGAAACAAGTAAAATATAATTTAGGTTATAAATAATCTTTATTTTTTAATCAGAACTAATATAGAACTTATAAACTAGATGTAAATAATTTCATCAAATCATAACTTAGGTTCACATTAAAAAAAACAATATTGTTCGTAAATCACTTATTAATCATTTTCTTATGTTAATGCACCTAAATTGGAGTGAAATTATACACTTGCTTTAAACGATATAAATTTGCCTTAAAAAGTGTAACCTTGCCTTTAAAGGTGTATTTGCCTTAAGATGTGTAAACATGCCTTAACAAGTGTAATCTTGCCTTAAGAGGTGTAAACTTGCCTTAACAAGTGTAAACTTGCCTTAAGAAGTGTAAACTTGCTTTAAGAAGTGTAAACTTGCCTTCAGAGGGAGTATATTCGACTTAAAGGTCTATAGTTCGTCAATGAACTTCCTCGTTCGTATGGTGTGCCACAGTGGCAGAGATCCCCAGACCCTGGAGCGCGATGCCAGGTTATTTCTCATCTTCTGTTTGCTTCCGATCTCTAGATATTCCATTCTCTTGCTGCTGGTTGCTGGTTCCCATTTAAATGGCAGCTTGTTTGGTTTGTTCGGGTCACTGAAATAATAAAAACTTTGTTACGTATTTTCCTTATCCAGTGTATAAAGTTCTATGTAATAATTAGTATTGTCCTTTAAAGTTTTTTAGAATAATGCATGCGAAATTATTTCACGCAACAAAATAATGTATTGATTTCCGATTAGTCGGATATCTAGGAGTACCTATAGACAAGTTGGGATTTCTATATCGATTCAAAATTTTTTTTTTAGTCTTCGGAGGGAAGTCTTAGATAACTTGTCCTCAGGGGGGAAGCCAGGGTAATAGGAGATTTGACCAACTTAAACCACGTCGGTGGTCATCCTCAAGTAAAAAACAAGAGAGTTCCGGGATCTCTAAGGAACCGATCAATCGAATTATGATCTAGGAAACTATATGATTTTTTAAACACAATCATCAAATCACCGGCACCGTTCTGAATAGTCATATCATGTTGAATTTAAATTTCTTTACTTCATAACGAGAACTGTCTCTGTCTACTTCACTGTTGTGTGAAAACTATTCAAAGTGTGCAGTAGATCTTACCCGGTGGTGGCAAAATTGGTCCACATAGTTATGATCAGTTCACTGATCCTCCTGTCCTCTTCGGAGAATGGCTTCGAGAGGAAGTGAATAGGGAACAGATGCATCAGCTCGTCAGCGTGACATATACCTAAAATAAAGTAGATTGATTGTATTTACTAACCATAAGTTGAAATTTAGTTATTGCATCAGAAACATTTTCAAATTATGATATGTTAAGTTATATTTCATACGTTAAAGACAGTTTTGGTAACGTATTATAAGTTTTTTTTGATGCAATTAAAAGTATATTATTTCTTATAATCACTTGACTGCTTCAACCTGAACGCCTCGGCTTTGATCGCTTTTCCTCTAGCTACCGAATGAGCGAGATAGCTGTGCGCGGGCGCCGCACATTGAACAATTATTTGGGCCTTCATAGACAAATTCATCTGATATTTTACATACTTCTTTTTTACATGAATGAGTTTTGTATGAGTTAATAGTTACATACAAATATGGTCTAAGAGAAAATAAGGCGTATCTGAGTTATCGCCAATTTATGTTTCAAATTCAAACAATTTCCCAAATTTTTGACCGAGTTCCCAAAATAAGGAAGAGCTTAATTCATCTGTATTTATTTTTCCGGTATAACGTATATGTCTACTCATACACAGCAGGTTCAAGCAAAAAAAGAGATATGCAAAACATCAAGTGAATTTGTCTATGAAAGCCCAATGTGCGCTGGCGCTGACGGCGCCTGAAACGACTGTATGGAGGCGGGAGCCTCGAGGGGAGGCCACGCGCACGACACAATGCTACAAGAGTCTATATTACATAGGTAAATTACTTATTTTAGAGATATTCAGCGCATACGACTGTTGGTGCGTTGTAGCGGGTAATTTTTATTTTTTTTCTCATAATTGTCATGTTTATCTATATGTTAGGGGTAATTTCAAAAAGTTGTTCACGCCATCATTATGAGGCGCCGACAGGATACAGGGTAAGATTTTAAAAAGGATTTTGTTAACTAACCATAGTCGCCTTCCTCGTCACCGAATATCTGCGAGAAACTGTTCGTAGCTCTGTAAGTGAGCTCGTAGAGGAACACTGGATTCTTCGTATAATTGAACGTTAATTCGATAGCTTCCAATGCTGGGTACGCGAAGTAGGAATCCGTGTAGATCTGAAACGTATTAATAGATAGAAATAAGGTAAAAAGCTAAACTGAATACATCAGATTAATTACTTACATTATATCAATGCATAACTGCAAAAGTTTTTGTTTATTTATTAATCATGCGATTGATAAAATAAATAAATAAAATATCATCGACGTAAAGGAATAAAGAGTGAATAGCCAACAACGACAGGCATCGCCAGACGATGATCAAGGCTAGGTGTCAGCTTAATAGGTCTAATTTAAACTAGTTTTTAAATCTATTTTTCATTCTTGGACTCTGTAGGAGGGGCAGGTTTTCTACTTCTAACCCTTCTGAAAACGCCCAGCAGACCCACCGTTAACTTTGTCGAGGTCCAAGTTCAATACCAAACTTTTCCGCTCCTTGCAACTTATTACTCTTGGATACTTGTCAACATTTTTCTATGGGACCTCTATTTTCTTTTTTTAAAAGATACCCTATCTTTTGGGTAAGAGGCAGGGTTATGAGACATTCCACATGCCTAAATTAAAATAACGTACACGAGTTAGCGCATTAAAATTAAACTAAGTCTTAACACTTTTTGCTTTGTCTGTGTGTTTGTGGGCGCTAATCTTAAAAACGACTCGATTGATTCGGATTTGGTTTTGACTGTTTTATTGTAATAAGCACAATTTAACAATTAGTGTTATTTTATGCAAATTAGTGTTAAAAAATATTTATTGAAAATTTAGGCGATTTTAAATAGCAATAAAAAGATACGTGTAATCTATTAAGTACACCGCAATATAAGGAAGGATTCACTTTTAATTATAATGAATTGGTCAAATTGCCCTCCTAGGTGTGCCGTCAGTGTGCGTTGCTCGTTTACGGCGGGCCTGCGCCAATTGGCAAATAAAGACAAGAGCGACTAAACACTAAACGAGAGACATTACAATCTTTAGACCACTCAGCAAAATATTAGTTGCATATTTATTAAACCATAGATAAAATACTTACTTCAAGTATCCCGGACTTGATCTCCTCCTGTCCGCCGCCGTTGAAGTAAACGTCTTTGATGCGATCGGTGATGACGTCAGCGTACGGAGAGTTGTCGTAATAAAACGTCACTGGAGCTATCGCCTCGAAGGCGGATATGAACTCCTGGTACCTGCTCGAGTTGGCCGTTATCCCTGAAGAAAAAGTCATTAATGATAAAAGAAAACATACTTGCACAAAGATATCTTAAATCTTCGTAGTCACTAACAACTCATTTACGATTTAAAGTAGCGTATCAACAATCATTGATAAAACATCGTCGAATAACATCGTTGCTTTTCACATAATGAGGCTATTGTCATGATTATCACATAAAAGGACTAATTAAGATAAGGAATAACTCACAGACAGACTTCAAGCATCCTTCATCTTTAGTGAGGCCAGTCATCCAGGGTACAGCGGCAACGGACGGCGTTTTCCGTGGGCTGGCGGTCAGGAAGGCACCGGGCAAGTCGGGCTCCGCCACTGCCTTGAATGGGGTCATTGGTTCGTAGTCCCACTCCTGAAAAATATATGTCACAAAATTTTATCTATCTTCTATGACGTAAATAATGCGCTGAATTCTTCGAAATCGTTTACAAAATTAATTTTAGTTATACCAGAAATATTGGCACAAATAAGAACAATTCTAGGTTCTAATCTAATCAAATTACTTACGTAGAATTTAAATTCTGTATTGATAATATCGTAGCTGTCTCTAGTGCGGAGACAGTCGAGCATGACGTCAGAGGGCGCTTGTGGACAGTCCAGGAATTTGGCGAGACGGAAAGCATTCCGCAGAGCCTCCCCAGGGGGCGCTTCTGCCCAAGGCACCAGCGCGGTACCCGACTCCGAGATGCCTTTGTGAAATAGACCTGAAGTGACAATGTTAATTTTCGTATAAAAATCTAAGTACCTAAAAATCCAAGGCAGGCATTAATTGTGATCGTTCCTTAACTAGAATTGAATTAATTATTAAACAATTATATTGTCATATCAAAAGGTGACTTTATGATTTGCTTGCGTATGCAAATTGTTATGCACTAAGCAATTTGTTAGTTTATATCAGAGCTAATCAATAGAAACTAAAACATTGTAACTATAACTTTGCATTCTATTATATTTAATCTTTATGCAAATTACTTAATAAGTTACATTATTAATGTTATTTATCTGATATATACTTTGTCAAACTATAAATGTAAATTTTTGTAGAAGAATTAACTTTGTAAAATCGTTTTTGTGTTCAAAGAAAGCCTGTAGTTGTATACTCACCTACACTTGTCTTTGACAGCATGTGATAGTGCACACTAGCGCCACCAGCGCTCTCCCCAAAGATTGTCACTGAATCCTTGTCACCACCGAAGCTGTGGATTATCTTCTGTATGAAGCGTAGCGCCTCCTGTTGGTCCTTGAGGCCGTTGTTGCCGGGACACTGCTCGTCTTGTGTTGATAGGAATCCGAGGGGGCCTGCGAAAAGTATTATTAGTTAGCTTAGATCTCTTTTCGTTAGTGCTTGACTAAATATTAAATTACTGGGGGTGTATTTACCTTAATCAAAAACATCTATCCCAATAACGCTATCACTGATATTTTCCGTATAGTCAATTATCATATTTTGTTTAATTGTTCAATTAACCTGTCAACATGCATGCACGTGCTTGCAGTAAACTGAGTAGTCAAGCTTACTTAGCATATTAAGTAAACAGCATGCAATTTGAGTAATACATATGGTGCGTTTGATTAATTCAATAAATTATTGTTAATACTTTTGGTTGTTTTAAGTGTTCTCACCGAGTCTATAGTTCATGGCTACTAGGAGAACATCCCTGTCGAGGAGGTAGTCGGGCCCGTACATCTGTGTGGTAGCGTCTCCGCACATCCAGCCCCCGCCATGGATGAACACCATCACGGGAAGGAGACGGCCAGAGTCTATTTCCTGTAAAACATTTCAACTTCTAAATTATCAACTGTAATGCAAAAATGTTAATAATTTTAACAATTTATACATCAAATAAACCTCTGGATACAAATGAATAATTCACAATATAACGATCTATGGGCATTGCAAATCTTAATACTGAGGTCAGATTAAGTGATAAGTAAATTAAGCTTTCAGGTTAAGTTATCAATTCTTTTGACATAAGACAGCCGTCGAGTTTACCCTGACTTATTACGAGTATATTTAATTAATTCAAAAGTTTTGTTGTTATTTCTATTACTAGTGTTTTCCCGCGACTTCGTCTGTTTAGAATTAAAAACAAGCTGTCTATTGTTGTGGAGTTAATGATTAATAATATATGGAATGCGATAAACTCTTTAAAAACAGGCTTACAGCTTTTAGTATTATTTTAAAAATTACATTTTCATAACTTTACGTACGGGACCATTTAACAAGGTGAAACTTCTTGAGGTTGTATCGTCTCATTGTGAAGATACTATGGTCACCTTCCAGCTCCATAATCAAACCAGCATCATGTCATCATAACATTACATTATCACTCTATTTACACACGTATGAATAATCATCACAATCACTTGTCTGGTACAAAATTAAGTAGCAAGATTCCACCCGAACAAACACATACATAAAAAGCTTGTAAAAACAATGACAATTCTAAAATGTTATTTCAGACTGTACTCTATCCCTTTTAGAATATCCATCAGAGGTTATGTAGTAAAATGGCGGCTTAAGGCCATCGGCGCACTGCGCAGTATCCTCACCCCATTTCCCTGTACTTAACAGTGCGTTCTGCGCAGAGATTCGTAGCTAGAAGCTCTTTAACAAACTTCCATGCAAAAATTCAAACTTCTAATTTAAATTACTTTAATACACCTACTTTTTTATTTATCTATTTTATTTTTTATTTATTATTATCCTCAATTTTATGAGATTTTAATCTAAAATTAATAATGTCTACCTAGTCCAGTGTGACTTCAACAAAGCCGTCATTTGCTAACAGTGATGAATATATGATGATGAATGACTTGTGCACTTGACTTTTGGATGACAATTTCGTCTCTCTTTATCATAATTTTTGCGACATCACCTTAACAGTGTTTTACAATTTCTACTACAGCAAAAATATGAAAAGCGTTTTCCACTGTTTTATTCATAGATGGCGCTGTAGAAATTTTCAAGTCACTATCAATTATCTTCTCGTCTGATAATAAGGAGTTCGTGAGGCGAAGGCTTAATCACTCATTGGACTATCATGGTCTAATATGTAGATTTCTAGCTGGAAAATTAGTTAGATATTTTTGCATCGTCAGTTCCGTACAAATGCGTGCGGATACTGACGACTATAAAGTATGAGGCAAGCTGAGGGAGACCAGTGGGCTAGCCCTGATACTGGCTATGGCCAGTGATTTTAAAATTCGTTCAGTCAATTGATTGTCATGGTAAAAATATTTTATTTTTGTGTTACTAACAAGAATTTTGTATGAATAAACAAAACTTACATTTCCCGTAAGCGGTGTGTAAATGTTGAGGTACAAGCAATCTTCCTGCCCCACCACCTCCTTCTGCCGGGTGTACGGGTTGCGCTGGACGCACACGGGACTTGTCATCGTTGCGTCCAGGGTTCCTTCCCAAGGCTCTATAGGTTGGGGTGCCTACAAAAAATCTATAATAAGTTGGCACGTTATCCACAAGAATACTCATGGTTCTAAGGTGCCATCTCAAAGAGTTAAAACGTATTGCATTTTAAAATTCAGTTCGTACAATGTAGTCCTATAAAACGTTTGGTTTTATCTATATGTGATTTTTTTTTATTGCCTTACAAAATTGTAACACCATAAACATATTTCTAAATTGTAAAATAAATAGTTAGAATTAAGGAAAATTCAATTTTGTTTTGCTCTTGAGGTATCCTAGACTGTTAGTAAATCAACTATCAACAACTGAACTACCAATATTATAATTAACCTAATTACTATGTTACAAAGAAACAATTTTATTTTTCTCGGAATGTATATGATGACGCAAAATATACCTTTATACATTTTATGAAAGTACATAATCGAATAACATCATTTTTAGCATCATGTTTACTAAAGCGATAGTTAACAAGATGTAACGTCGATAAGGAAAACTTAGTATTCTTTTTAACATTCACAACACGACTATATTGTGCAATTTGTTTGGAGTTATCCAACTGCCAAGTTCAGGGTAAGTACGCGATGTTTGTAATGAATAGACTCAAAAACTACTTCACCGATTTCGAATATTCTTTCGCCGTATGAATAGTACATTATTCCTGAGTGATATAGGCTGTATTTACTACTGTTATAAAATGATTAAAAAAGGCTTCCGAAGCAAGGGTAATAATTTCCTAACGCCCAAAAAACGTACTGTCTATTACAGGAGTTATAATAACTATCGAAAATACTTGGTTTCTTTAATTTTAATTAAACATACGTCAGGTGACATAAAATATGTTTTGACAACGCTGTGTTACTTTATTATCATTAATAATGAATTATCAGTTAAAAAACGGCATTTAAAGGTATGTTTTTGTTTTAATATAAAGATTTATTACAGATTACTACAGGTTGAAAATTCTCGGAAAATTACAGACGTCATTCTAATCCGTAATGGCATATGAAAAAAATAGTTTATAGCAGTATATGTAGTAATTAAAATGTTTTTTTTTTAATAGTGAAAACTTCGGAACGTAATATTTTTATACAACTTACATTTGTAGTAACATTAGTCATTTTCCTTTAGACTTTGAAATTTTTCATAAATTATGTTAAGGTAAAAAATACAAAATAAGGAAACTCAGTTATAATAGTAATCTGATGTAATTAAAATGAATATGTAATAATACTATACAATGATTGTTTTATAATTCCAGAAACGTGTAAATAAAAAAACCTTGATAAAAACATCAGCTGAGAGGCCTACGATTTTATGCCGAAAACCATTAATAAAAACTCAGAAAATCAAAAAAACGTAAACCAGAAGACCTTATAAATTATTCAGAAAAGTTCAAGGTTTTAGTTTAGATTTAAAAAAACTAACCATCATGATTAAAAATACGGCTGTTTAAAAACTGGCCGAACCGGTTTTGATAACACACGTGTAAAACGTAATAGTATTGATTCATACGTTACTACGTTATGTATTGTCGCAAACACGTAAATAATAATAAATCACGTTAACATTTAATATGGGTATAATTAAAATGTTCTAATTACAGAATCAATTGCTACATAAACGTACATTAGTCGAATTATGTTAATAGTTTCATCAATTTACTAACGAACTAGATGTAATATAAAATGTCAAATTTTACAATCAAACGGTCACATTTAAAATGGTATACCGAAGACCTAGTCGTATAATTTGAAGTAAATCGATGTGAGAGGTTTCAATACTTTAAACATCCAGTCAGTTTCTAGACGTTATACTTTCTAATTTCTAGTCGCTAGATGTCATTAGTGTCGTTACAATGGTAAGAACAAAAAATAGATTACGCCAGATTATAGAAGCGAATTGTAAACGATGTTTATTTCGTTATTGGGTGAGGCCATGGGGGTCAATTTGCAAAGCTCTTGACTTGACCACGACTATGTGACCCCCCCTCCTCTGGCGCCAAAGCTGGATCCGTCCTTGAGTCTAACAAGGATGAGTCCGTGAGTGAGGCGCTGCTATCGATTATTGTTTGAGAATTTAAGCCATTGCAATTTCGTTAGTAACTTCAAATGTTATCACGTTGCTTATTATCCTTAATAATACTATTTACACGACTTCATTTCAGTAATCTAATCTATCGTAACAATGAAAGTAGTTCACATTACTGTTTGCACATTCACGAATTAAGTGATCCTTTATCAACAAAAGATATAACGCGGTAAAAGGATTAAGATAAATATCAGTATGACAACAAACGGCTTTTGACAATAACACAAAAAAATCACCGTCAGCTTCCACTGACGTAACAAAAATAAACACCTTGAGAAATGACACTTTTTATAGACATATATTAGATTTTTAGTATTATTCGTTTTTTTTTTTAATAAAAATTATGTTTCCATCAAAACCAAGTTAAATTTTAATCTACGCCAACAAAGTTGTAGCTTCAAGTTAATATGGTCAATGTCTCTACTTCTATGATTGTTGCATAACAATGAAAACACGTGGCGTCAATTATACCATAACTAGTGTATATAATTATAGTTTTAATGATGTTATTAAATTGTACTGTTTACGTTTCTTACGGTGAAGGAAAACATCGTATTGCAACTTGCACATATCGGAGAAGAAATTCAAAGTCTAGTCGCTTCTAACGTAAAGCTCAAACCCTAACACTATTCATCCTTGTTAAGATAACAGAATTTTACAGAATAGTGTTCGATTGTAGAATGTAAAATGTAATAACATTGGCCTAATAAAATAGATTAAAACTAAGCGAAAATATTTAAATAGAAATAGAACAATCGTAACTAAAAACATTGCAAAACAAGAAATTAAAATGCACAGATAAAAAATATTTGCGCGCGCAAAATCAGACAATTTAAGTAAAAAATTATTTCACAAAAAATACTATTCATTTATCTTTTTTTTATTTTTTTCGCTGGCTAATTTACCTTGAATCTCAAATCATTGAGTGGGGGTTTTGCGTACGGTATACTAGTGAATGCGGCTATCTGTCTGCCTCCTCTCGTCTCCAGAAAGTACCCTTTGAGATCTCCTAAGGGTGTAGTCACCGTAGGCTGATCTTCAGCCCACACAACAGCACACAGCATTAACACACACGTCAGATACATATTTGAACGTCGTCCGTTGCTAACGGAAGCGTGGGACTGAATGAAATCTTTGGTAACACCTTGTATTTAAATACGTTAGATATTTGTCACGGTGAGAATAGTAACTCCGTATTTTCATAATCATACTAGCCACGAACACTGACAACAAAACGTAATTGAATATTCGATGGGTATTGGCAATACATTGGGTAGGATCAAATCGTAATTTAAACTGTTTTTTCTTGTATTATGTAGAGTAAATTTAAAGTGATCATAGATGAACAAACAATATTAATGTTGTACACATCAAACTGACGATTTGTTAAGTAAACTAGACTGTTATTAGTGAAATTATAAAATGACGTAGTTCGTAAACGCTTGCAGATGGGCGATGAATTTCTCACCGTTTGTCAAGATGATGGTTACTGTACTTTCGCTCTTGAGTTATGATCAAAGTAAACAACTTTACAAGTGTCGTCAACAGCCCGGCTCGAGGAGGGGAGGTAAATTGTGAATTGCGAGTCAATGTACATGAACTGCCTTACTCAGAATTGTTTACAGGGGTCCCTTAATGTAGCCGTAATCCAACAACTTGATACAATCCGTGTGCGGCGACAATTTATCTCCTAAAAATATTAACATTTGTTTAAGGTTTTGTGCGACGAATAATATTAGTATAACATAAATAAATACATACAAAACGACTTTTAGACTACAAAGCCATGACGTGCGCAGTGACCAGTGACTGGCTAAACCCCCGATTGAATATTTCTCAGTACAATAGGAAAATATTACTGGGAAAGAACAGACGCTTAAAATTAATTATTTTTCTGCCATATGCATTAGGTTCTACGCCTGTCTAGATTCATCGATATCCGTAAGTAACAAACATTCATTCATCCTTTCACATCTTACTAATATTAAAAATGCGAATGTTTAGTTGGATACATTTCTGTAAATATTAAAGGGATAGATAATTTGTATGTAATAATATTACGCTATTTTTATAATCATTCCGATGATCGATTATAAATATATATCCAATGTTATATTGTCTTCTAAACATGAATACGGAAATTTACCAAAAAAGAAATCACGACAGAACATCCGTCCGAAAACCATTCGGCTAGAAAACCGCTTTATATTAAATTAATAGATACAATTAAAAAAAACCGTATATTCAAAATATTTTCGAAAAACCAACCGGTTACTAAGTGCAATGACCTCAGACATTTACTAGGCCGCTTTATTATCTGAGAGAAAACATGTCCGTGTAAAAGTTTTTTAGACTAATAATTCTTAAACTCTATTAATATGTGTATTGAAGACTTTCGCAGTAAAGTTGAGATAACGTTTTTAGATTCATAACACGACTGATGATTTGTTTTTGATCCAACGAAGCCTTCGAATTATTTCTCAACAACATTAGCAACGACCTTTCGCTCTTTTCAAAATAATGATATATTGCATCAACACGAGATCTTACTAATGTTGTTTACTGCTAAAAGTTAACTCTTTTTTTATAATATAAAGTGGCAAACGAGCAAGCGACCACCTGAATCCACCGAAAAGGAGGAAAGCGACCGCAGCTCATAGACATCCACAATTGCAGATGCGTTGCCTACCCTTTATTGACATAGGAGGAGACGCACAGAAATAGGACAATTCTCCTTCCTATGCGTCTCCTCCACTGTCAAATCCACTTTTTCTTCCCATCCTTTCTTCTTAAGAAAAAGGGTGGAAAGGGAAAGGGACTAAAATTAGGCCTCCGGCACCACACTCATCAGACGAAACGCGGAATTGCTTCCACTTCACGCCTGTCGTCTGTGTGGTCGTGGTATTACACCGGGCGAGTATATGGTATTACATAAGTAATATTTTAAACCGCGACCGCAACGCGTATCGCCTTCAATTACGTTATTAACCCTAATGTCATCTAACACGTATATTATTAACAAATGCAGGCGCGTAAAATACATAATTTATTTCTTAAAGGTTAAAAATTACTTGAATAAAGTTATCTACATAGATAAGTGTGATACCGATAAACTTAGTTCTTCTGTTAAAGTGGGAAACCTGTACTTCATACAATGAAAGATGGATTTAAACATGGTAAATATTTTTTAAATACTAGCTTTCGCCCTCGACTTCTTACGCGTGGAATAAAAAAAAAAAGTAGCCTATGTATTCTTCCAGACTATCTTCTACATCTATGCCAAATTTCATAGAAATCCGGTCAGCCGTTTACGCTACAAACTCTCACAAACATCTATCATCCATCCATCTAAACTTTTATATTAGTAAGATAGTAAAGAAGCCAAGCAATGTAACACGGTAATTACGTTATCCTCGTAACTAAACAGGTACTTAATAAAACAATAAACAAAGGCGCGTCCCAAAGTCATATATTGACAGACTTTAGCTGCCGAAGGTATCTGCTTATCCACCATTTAAGGATAAAGCTTGATATATATGGTTCTGTTAAACTTTAAACAAAGAGTTCAATATTACGCCTCAGAAATTTGGCTCGCCATTATGCATATAAATAAATTTTCTATTACATTGTATGCAAATATAATTTTAGTTATGTAATTTGGATTCCGTTTTAATACGCAGCAATACTTTTTTATATTCGACGATCTCGATATGGAGTAAAGCATTACTGAGACATGTATTATAATGAATCACGCCCCTACGCCATAGGGTTAGATAAAATACTACTAATATTTTTATTTAGTTAATTACGAATCTGGTTTTGGTAAATTCATTTGGCTATTTCCTATGGACCCTGTTCCCTAGTTTTACTACTCTCCAGAAATACCGAAACATTCCTCTTGAGATCACACAGTCCAACATTTGCGGCATCGTCACACATTTCAGAGGCTACATAAATCATTCATAGATCACAGATCAGTCGAGGTTAGAATAAAATTACAAAATGTTATTACCTCTATCGCAAATAGTGTAAAGTTTTGTGGCAATTTTCTGCAGAATGCCACCATGTACCACCATGATTCGTTGTTAGTTGTTAAACATAGTTTGCACAATAAATAGGTTTTTACGGTAAATAAATTTAATAGTCTTCTGTTGGGGTTTAACGCAACTTTTTATTAAGGAGAAAGAACATTTCTTGTAAGGTATTAGGCCTCCTTCGTGTCCTATACCTGGCCAACTTGTCAGCGCCCGGCAGCACGGAGGCGACCGGCTGCTCCGAGTGCTTCGTGCGCGGCATCAGGCTAAGGTGCCGCCGCCTGTACGTCAACTGCTGGTGGCTGGTCTTCACCTCTCGCCTGTTCTTCAACTCCTCCAGGGTACGGAGTATACTCTCGTTCTGTTTCGCGATCCGATCTGCAATATTCATGATGTACAGTATGTCGTGGCTGAGCCTCGGCAGCTGGATCTTGTTCACCATTTCGAACTTCTCCGAGATGGTATTCATCGCCATGAGGACGTGTCCCGAGGAGGTGCGCAGCCTGTCCTCTGACTTGCCGGCGGGGTGCTGGCACAGCGCGCACGTCCAATGGTACCCGAGGTCGCCGCTCTCCAGCAGCTCCTGAGTCTCGCTCACGCACGCCACGTGGTACTTCGAGTCGCATTCCGAACACCTGATACCTTCACCACTCCTCAGAATCCTCCTGCACTGACTGCAAATCATACTGCAACAAAAAAACAATATTGTAACAATACCATCATTAGGAAATGTATAATAACCAGGGAACGGGTGTGCCATGTATTCACTAGTATTCAAGAGTGTAGTAATAGAAATTCATACATTGATTTAAAACTATTCTTCACCGCAAGAATTCGTGTATCAATAAAAATCCATTTACTACCGAGAGGCTATAAGATACAGCAACTATTCGATATACGATTGGTTGGTTGTGGTACTCGATTTGGTAACATATGCTAATTATTGTGTTTTTATATTAGTACGCGGCGGCCTACCTTGCCTACTAAATACTAAATTATTACCTTTAAATGTCCGATTCCACTACGACCATAGGTAGATAATTTATTCTCTTACATGAATAAATTTGACTTGGCGAAAGATATATTTGACCACTTTTACGACAATCTCTCAAAAAAACATTAAGGTCAATGACCTTTTCATATTAAACAAAAATCCGAAATAGATAACGTAAAAAATTTGGAACATTAAAATCCACAGTACATTTTATGGCATCAAATATTGAAAATAATTAAAATTTATTCCATGACATATATATCATCCTAAGTCATTGCCAATAGACATAAAAATCAAATTGTTTTAAAATCGTTTTATTTTAATTTTTCGGCCTGTTTTAGATCGCGAGAAGACCGTATTCGAAAACCCCATGTTTGGCATTTTGTTACTCAAGTTTACTGTTAATTAGTAGTAGAAATTTACTAAAAATATAAAAAATAAATACGAAATCATTAATATAAAATTGAAAAATGTAATGAAACAACTCCATCTGTTCAACACAAGACAAAATTAAAATAACTGTGTTAGCTTAATTTAACAAAAGATGGCGCTTTACTAAGTTTCATTAAAAGCAACTAACGAAAGAACAAAAAGTAAACTTTACGATCTTAAAATAAATAAATAAAATTATTTAAGCGAATTCTAAAGCATTATTTTTCTTCTTTAATTTTTTTTCTTGATTTTTCGCTTTATGTAGATTTTGAACATAAAATTGTAATTTGAATGGGCTGACGCCATCTATATTCAGACACAACATTGACAAGTGAACTCATCAAAATTATACAAATATTTAATAGATGTCGCTACGTAAATTTTATGGGCGAGTGTATTTTCTTGTTTATGAGTAAACTTTAAACTTATCTCTTAACCTTTAATTTTTTTTGTAAACACATTAACAAGTGCAACAGTGTAGCGTAGCTCTCGGAACAGCTAAAATTGATGACCTGCAGATCAGCTCACGCTTCGCATGCATGAAGCAGCACGAATCAGTTCACTTTGTACCTGCATAAGTATTTCGACTCACCGGTCTGTTTTAGACTTATCAGCTCCTATAGTTATAATACGATTATGAGTAACGCTTTGAGCCGTGAGCCATTAATTCAGTTGTTGATCCGCAGCTCAATCTTTCAAGGCTGTGAGTAGATCTTCTGAACCGGTTAGGAACTGATTTACACAAGTCTACATCTCGAAACTGATTAACATAACTTTGTGCGCAAATAATGTAGTTGAAGTTAAAATGGCATCGAAGAAAAAACTCTGATAATATAACACAGTTTTTCTTTTACTCGTAGTAGGTATCATTTAGTGTAGTTTACAATACTTAGCAGTATTTATTACGTAACAAGGTCGACAGAGCGACGCGACACACACACGTTTGTCAGTTTTGTACCACACGGTGTTAATCACTTTAATTCACATGAAAATCGATAAATTAACTACATTCTTATATATCTATTAAAGAGTAATAATAATAATAATAATAATAAGCCTCTTTATTTCCATATTTACATAGGGTTTCAAAAACTTCATTTTGTTAGTATTGTTAGTTTTTACACCTTATTATAGTTAGTATTGTTAGTCTATTACATTTTTTTTTTTTAATTTATTTTCTTATTGATTTATTTATTTTAAATATGGATCCCGCCTTGGGTAAAGGCCTCCT